CATATGCGTAGAGTAAAAATATCATACTTTACGCCGAAAAAACGAAACTGAAAGTTAAATGCGTTAACTTCCAAAAACCATACATAATCCAACGAAAATAAATAATTGGTAAATAACAGCTTTCTTGTATGCAAAGAAAAAAAATTAAAAATGTTAAAAAAGAGATGTCGACACAAAATTACATAGCCCCTTCAATTCTGAAGTTACTACAAACGAACTGTACCTTAAAATTTTCATATCCCAGAAGCAAAAGTTCCCATGACGAATATTGCTATCGCTAGCGATTGCAAAAACCAACTTGTTTATTTTTACCCGCATAAAACATTTCTATATGACGCTTGACTTTTAATCTTCATCGGTATAATTTATTGATATCCTGAGCCGCCACCTAGTATTGCACAAAATTCCTCATACTTTTCGGTATGACGCGGAGGGTTTTTTACTTTATCACGTACTCCAGTTCGCACTAATGTATTCTGACACCTTTTTCCTGACAAGTCAGATCGCGGCTCACAGGAGGCATGGGATACCGGCTCACTTTTAAGAAGCTAAAAGTTAATTTTAGATCCTCAGGCGTGCTCTGTTGTAAAACCAAGCATGTAATTTAAGTGTTACTAGACGTTCAAGGCTCCACCGTTGAATCATTCCAATAACACAGCTGGCATCCCATTGTTATCACTAATTCAGTAAAATAATTGCGAATGATTCATAGTTGTTCTCCTGATGGCGTAGGATCGTAACTATGTGCATAACCTTCTCGCTTCTATACACTAAGGAAAAGCTCGTGAATTATAAATAGTATGAAATAATCGCCCCGTGAACTGAGAAACTCAATCAAAATACGACCAAAATGCACACCATTATATAATTTGAGTGGGTGGGCTCGACGCGCGGCTCTAAAAAAAATAATCGAGTGTATAACAAATTCGACGACGGACTGTGATTGTGTGGTAGATGATATCACTTATCAACCAAATAAGAGCTCGTTTAAGGTGATTCGATGGACGCCATATTTTGTGTCAGAACGGCATGCGTTATATCGCATCAATTGGTCCCATTTTTTCAGCTACACGTCATTTTTCTCCAATTTTGAGATCACAATTCTATTGTTAGGAGACTAAAGCACTCACTTACCAATTTTAACAAAGAAATTCAACGTAATAAAGGCGTGGTTTTTTTTTAGAGAGAAAACATCGCATTCGAGTGCAGTTTCGATATCAGTATCGAATGCGATGTTTTCTCTCTAAAAAAAAACCACGCCTTTATTACGTCGAATTTCTTTGTTAAAATTGGTAAGTGCGTGCTTTAGTCTCCGGACAACAGAATTGCGATCTCAAAATTAGAGAAAAATGACGAGTAGCTGAAAAAATGGAACCAATTGATGCGATATATCGCATGCCGTTCTGACACAAAATACGGCGTCCATCGAATCACCTGCTTAATGTAATCTCTTAGTGAGCGTGCCATTTCACGATAATACCACTATTCGATTACGTGGGAAGTTGTGTTGCCTACACTAAACATTGCAGCAAACCGCTGTACCGTTAAAATTACGTCTTCTAATTTGGTATATAGCTACAGTTTTTCAATATTTTCGCGCCATTTCACGACGATACCATTATTCGACTACTTGGGAGGTTAAAGTGCCTGCGCTGTAATTTAAGGCGAACTTGCTGGACTTTGATGTAAGCACTTACCATTTTGTGAAAAGCTATTTTCTGTTTCTGTTCCGAGTAGTCATGCAATTTCAAAATTACTAAAGCGTTTTTGCTGCTTTAGTTTTTTATTCGAAAATTTCCTCTGAGGAAAATCTAATGCTTTCCGAGTGAGAGGAAATTCCCACGAGTTTTGAGTTTTTTAGGGCACATAGAACATCCCGAATCTCTCAAAAACTGTCGTCAGTGATTGGGCTTTGACATTTAGCGCTACCATTAACGCAAACCATAGAGCTATAGAGCTGTCGACTGATGATGCATCATTAGTGAATTTGTGAAAGCACTCAGAGTGGCTTCTGCGTTTCGGTGTCATGCGTCGTTCATAAGTTTTATTTTCGGAGCACTTTGTACTTTTAATGCTACTTTTTCCGGGTCTCTTGCTCGAAAATTCTGCGTCGCACTCGGAACACGAAAACAGTACCGTGGCGTGTTTTGCGAGAAATCGATTGTTCATCCATTTAAACCTACATGGAAAAAGATCGATAAATAGAGTGTGGTGTCTGCAACGGAGACCTCGATAATCGATCCTTTACCTAGGGGAAATATCGATAATCGAGCATTTACGCGACGCCACTGCACAAAAAATCCACCAAGTTTGGCTGATGCATCCCCAAAAAACAAGTTTTAGCGAAACTACCATCTAATGGATCATCCGCACGCCGAGCCACTGCACAAAAAAATCCACCCATTTCGACTGATGCGTCCCCAAAAAACAAGTCAGCGCAACTACTATCTCCGCGAAGCCGAGTCGCTTAGTTTCACTAAAGTGCTCAGTGTATCTCTAGTGTCTATGCTGATCAATACTCGTGCAGTGATACCACCCCTCGCCCGAAGCTCTGGGCGACTTTAGGCGCTCGTTAACCCTTTACCGCATCGCGTTGTCATATGGCAACAGCAATGGACCACTAGATAAGGTACGAATTTCAGCATTCTGATACATGTTTTTTAACCAAAATTTTACGTAAAACACGATGCTCACAACGAAAATTACCGAAATTAACTCCTTACGAAAATATTTAATGATTCTTAATGCGTGAATTCAAACCACCCGCTCATTAAAACTCAATGCTCTACGTGATTCACATCGCGCGCTAAACGTTATCATGACAGTCTCTGCGATATAAAAATCTGGCAACCTCAATCTTGACGCTTTGGCTCATTATAGCAAATTGCTAATAGTTTGAAAAACACATGATGGGAAATGAACATTGCTCGATTGAGAAGCTTGCTGAAACCGTTGTAGGGGGCGACTGACGACGTGTTGTAACTGACTCACGTAGAGTTTTGAGTTTCTTGTGAGCGGGCAGTTCAAATTCCTGGTAACCAATGTGAAATAAAAACGTTAATATCTTCGTTAGGAGTTGGTTTCCGTAATTTTCGTTGTGTGAATCGTTTTCTACGCTAAATTCTGGTTAAGAAACATGTATCAGATCGCTTAAATTCGTACCTTGTCTAATGGTCCATTATTTAATTCAAAGTAAATTCAAAAATGCTCATATTGGTACCCCGTGTGGATTCTAGGGAACTTAACAACATTACCAACCTAAAAAAAATAGTGGTGGATGGAACTGGAGCTGCCAAATCAAGTATATAATCCCGTTTTTCTAACGCGGCCATTTTCAAGGAGTAGCCGCGAGTAGCCCAACTTTGAAGAATGTTTTGAATGACTTAGCTTGCCTTCACAGTCATTGCCTACACTACCTAGATTGAAAATTTTATGGACTGATAAGAAAAAAATATTATTGAAATATTATTTTCGACTCAAAAACGGCAAGGTGCCATATGGCAACAATATACCGACAAACTTCTGGCCCAATATTTTTCCTGTTGCCATACGGCAACAACATACTGGCTCCGACGCAATCATGTATCGTGTGCTGTCCAAAAATGGAGCTTAAAATTCAGCATTAGACGCTTTTTGAATTTGGTAATGTTAGAAGAATCAAAAAAACTTGTTTCCCTAGCTTTTTTTTGTCAAAAGTCCCACACAAGAGTTATGCCCCGGTATCACTATTCCACTCCTGCACTGTATGTTGTTACCATATGGAAACGAGTGGATACTCTGGCAAGAAATTACCACATGTTGTTGCCGTATGGCAACGCGCTTTTTTAAGCTTTAAAAGTTAAAGAAAAAATTCAAGTTTCAAAAAAAGCTCAAAGACGTGCCTTTTTAATTACATTTTACTACAACATATATTTTTTTCATCAAAATCGGCGTCGCCAAAAAAATTCCATGCAGTAGAGGGTTAAGAGCCGCGATGAAACTGCATCTTTGGACGTTTGTGTGTATTGTGATTTTCGGTGCTGTTCAAGGGCCGCCCGAGCGAAAAAGCTCTGGGCGATGGCGTACTTTGAGTAACTCAGTGTTTGGCCGCGGTCGCAGTCGCGGCTCCACCGGTGCCTCATCGAGCAGACAGGGTAGAAGTCGTGGCACTTCACCCGCAGAACTGTCACCCAGGCCGGCTACATTTCAGCAATGGTCCCAACCTCAGCTACGAACCCCATCTCAGCTACCATGGTCCTTCCCTCAACAACAGCCCCAAACTCAGCAACGGCCCCAATCTCACCAACGGCCCCCACTGGCCCCACGGCCCCCACTGCCCCCACGGCCCCCACTGCCCCCACAGCCAACCCAGGCAGCACAGCCCCAACCGATTTTATTTCCATTCTACCCCTACCCGGCTATTCCCGTGACACTCAAAGCGCATTCTCCAGCGGTTATCACAAAAATCCAGGGATACATCGCTAAGTTTCACAGGCAACCGGGTGAAATGACGGTAATTGTTCTCTATGTTACTTAGACTGTTTCAGTATTATTTCGATGGTGTAGGTAGGCAATCATATAATAACTCGTTTTGCGACGTCGCAGACCTGACTTCCTCTCATACTTTATTTTTTAACGGAAAACTATTCAGCGGCAATTCTTTAAAACTACTGTGATTTTTCTTGTCTGTGCGAAGGAAATTCTGCATAAACTTCGAGGAAGAACATGCTGTCCAGAACTAGGGATGGAGCAATTTTTGTCCAATACCCATACAAATATTGTAAACGGCTATCTTGAATTGATGAGGAACAACCTATCCTTAAATCACATTCAAAATAGGATCACTTACGTCCACGAAACTGTGTCTATGTTTACATAACTTCAATTTTTACATTTTTATATTTTGCCTCTCGGTCACTGTTTTCTTATTCACTCACTGCACCTAATTACGGAGCTAACAGGTAAAACTTGTGAACTCTATGTATTTTAAATAAGTTTCTATAAAGGCCGCGGTTGAGAATTTGAGGGGTAGCGATGAATAAAAACTCCCCGGGGCCACAATTTTTTTTTCTTTTCAAAACCACGTTAGCACCCGATTTCAGAGGGTTTTTGTGAGCCACTTTATGAAGCACAGCATTGTAGGTGGAAAAATTGGAAAATGGCAAAAATTTTCATCAGCCACGGGGCCTGTTTAAACCGGTTGGTAGAGCTAGGTTTGTAAATATTTTGGGGCTGTAGCTAAATCACCGCTAGAAAATCCCATTATATTATTGAACAGAAATTGACTCGATAGTTTAATGCCTGATGCATTTCCTACGCACGATTATTTTAAGCACTGGAACTCGTATATTGCCAATTTTAGCCATGTGGTAGTTTCCTAAGAGCCCATGTTTGCACGAATTTCTGTGAAGTTTGAAATAAATGCCGATTTTTTCATTCAATTCTTATTGGGGGTCGGGTCGCGTCTAGTATTACAAGATCCTTGCAGAGTCTCACGTAGCCAAGCTTCTAGAATGTTCAGCAATTTGATATTTGAGGAGTTTTTCTTACTCATGCTCTGATGATGATTTGTGTCATTTCTATTTCAGTCAGATGAACTCAACCAGAAGAAAGCCTCTCTTCTTCAAAAAGTGCGCCTTGACACTTGTCCTAGTCACGTCTCAATCTCGGATGAGAATTGCCAGGCAGCTCTTGATGAATTCCAGTCAATCCCCAAAGATTTGCGCGGCACGTGTAGATCTGCATTTGTGGCCACGTGTCAATGGTGGCCTTTACGTACCGGTGTTCAAGTCCACAAATGCTCTATTTTCGTACACGACAATCCCACTCTTGTCCCGTCTATTACCGGACTTGCTTTCTCATTGAAAGATTGTGTTAATGATTTAAAACCAGAGGAGTACAGGCGGAATGTTGAGCGAGAAACGGACGGTTACTTGCTTTAGAGTACCTGTATAGCGAGAGCATGGACAGATGTGAAACTCCGAAAATCCATCAGGCCTTCACCGATGCTTCTGCGAATAAAGTTAGGGCCCAGAAATGCAGCCAACCTATGAATTTCAATTATCCAGAACGATTTACTAATACTATTGTTACGAACCGTCGTTTATTAAGCACGTGTTTGACTCAGTTTTTGCATAAATTTACTCAATTTCGCGGAAGAACGCTCATTTCTGTACATTCTTTGCCATCATGGTTAGAATTGGAATCTGCAGACTGGCAGTGAAATTTTGTGCGTTAGAAGTTGGTTAGAAGGGTGGCTGCACTTTTGGGCCCTAAGCCCTCCATGAAGCGATCTGTCCATACTCTCACTATACAGGTACTCTACTTGCTTGGTCCACCAGCATGATACATATAGAATGGACTTTAACGCATCTCCATAAGAAGACAAATAACGTGATGCATACCTAACAGGCCATTTAATGATATGGACGTATTTCTGCTAAATGGAACAAGAGATGGGTGGCGAGATGGGCTGTGAACATGAAAGCTGTTAAAAAAAGTGGAAATCGACATTAAACATGCTATAACTACGTAGGTATGCTCTGCCCGACCCTTCCAGCTAGAACTCGGCTTTCGGCTTCCGCTCCTGGAGCTGTGGCGCGAAATTTGAAATGGACCACTAGACAAGGTACGAATTTAAGCAATCTGATACATGTTTCTTAACCAAAATTTCACGTAGAACACGATTCGCGCAACAAAAATTACTGACTCCTAATGAAGATTTTAACCTTTTTTATTTCACATTTGTTACGCGGATTTTGAACTGCCCGCTAACAAGAAACTCAAAGCTCTACGTGAGTCAGATCGCGCACTACAACGGTTTCAGCAAGCCTCGCAAATAAGCAATGTTAATTTCCCACCATGTATTGTTCAAAACATAAGCAATTTGCTATAGCTAAGCCAAAGCGTCAAGATTGAGGTTGCCAAATTTTTATACCGCAAGAGACTGTCATGATAACGTTTAGCGCACGATGTGAATCACGTAGAGCATTGAGTTTTCATGAGCGGGTGGTTTGAATCCACGCACTAAGAATCAGTAAACATCTTCTTAAGGAGTTATTTCCGTAATTTTTGTTGTGCGCATCATGTTCTACGTGAAATTTTGGGGGACGACCCAAAACCGCACAGATCGAAATACCCTACCTGAAAACCAGAGACCCTAAACCGCACACAATGATGTGTCATTAGCAATAGAGGGGAAAAAGAACGTACCTTATATTTTGACTGGTTGGCAACACTATCGTATTTGTATCAGACTTTCATATATTCCGTAAAGACGTTTACAGGCTGTACAGACATTTGTCCGCTGGGCAAACAGCGTGACACGCGCATAGGCGCCTATGAACCTAAAATGATACTTGACGCATTGCGCAATGCATGAAGTATCCCTCTAGGTTTGTAGGCGCCAGGTACAGTCTTCCTGCAGCCTTCCTGCAGCACGTTGGCAACGCCAACGTGCCGAAGAAAGCGCAGCAGCTTAGACTCATCTCTCTCTTCATAGTCATCGCGATCTTCTGCAGGTTTTACTGTAGTGTGAAGGACTGCGTATTCTCTCAATAAAAAGTTTTGTTTTTTTTAACAGCAGTTTTAGTTATTGCTCGCCGGTTCTTCAGGATGGAGTTAATATTCAGATCAGTATCTACCTGCATTTGAGCTAGGACGTCAGTAACTAAAAAAACCGAGGGTTCAGAGGCGTAAAAATAGGTACTGCCGATCCTCGTCGAAAATGTGCGATAATGCACACATACTTGCGTAACAACTCAATTTTTCCTATCATCTTCGAACTGGCCTCGCGATCCCATGTTGTCAAATTATTGCAGTAAAAGTATTTGTTTCATTTCGCATGTACGTTGTTACGCTGTGTGTGCGGTTTTGTCCGCCAAAAGAATTTGCTGTTTTGGGCTGTGCCATACTGTGCGGTTTAGGGCTGGATTCGCGATGGGTGTGCGGTTCTGGGCATGCAAACCCGAAATTTTGGTTTAGGATCATGTATCAGAATGCTGAAATTCGTACCTTGTCTAGTGGTCCATTTAACAACATTGCAGTTTTGGCCGAGAACAAATAGATCGTATTCAATGCATCAAACAGGTGCGATTGTATCGATATCGATTAGTTGAATACGTAAACATAGCCTCAAAAGTCAATTTAAAAATGTAATGTAACGGGTCTTTTGTGGTCGATTTTTTATTCTTTCGAGTATCAAATGGCAATGAAAAGTGAAATTGTCAGGAATTTGCTCATTTTCAGCTCTTCCAAATAAAATCCTATTTTTTTTTTTTTTTTTTTTTTTTTTTTTTTTTTTTTTTTTTTTAGGTTATGTTCTATAGTGTTTCGAACCAAACCACTATCGAATACGATCTATTTGACCGTCTGCTGTTGATAAAAATGAAAAAAATCAGTGCAAGCAAATTATTTGAGAACATTTATCGAAGGAAATTTGGCAACTCCCGAATGTTCATACGGCGTTCATCCTTATACCGCAATCACACGCTGATTTTAGCAGCTGAATGTGGAAGTCAACAGTCATCGCCCAACGGCTGAAATTTAGTAAATTCGAGTTATTTTCATACAGATGTGTATCAAATCTACTCGAATAGCTCAGACAAATTCAACATTAGTCCGATGGTTGCTGAGAATCGTTGCTGAATTTTGCGCGTGACGCGCAAAATTCAGGCATCGGGCCGATGACTTCCACATTCAAGCCACATTCAGCGTGTGATTGCGGCATTAGCACGGCAGTGCGGCTCTCACCTGACAAACACACTCCATCATTCCCACCCGTCTCTCGTTCCTTTAACCATAAATTCGTCTATATGATGGGTAGAATTTGAGGTCCAGCTGAAAATTGAATTGAAGTTTTCACAAGCGCCTTGTCAACGTATTTCCTTGAGCCAATATATTTAACCCTTAGATGAGTGACCGTTTTTACCTACACGAATGAGTAACCCGGGCCTGCGAGGCCCGTATTGAGAATACGTGGTTATTCGATAGCTGCGATGCTTTTTTCACTGTTTTTTGTAGAATTCAATGATTTCCATACTTCTTCCTCTATAACCAAGGTCCCAAATTCAAACGTTTCAAAGTATTTCGAAGTGTTTGCGAAGTGTTGCTCGAAACGTTTGCTTGTCCACCATGTTAAGGCAAAATTGTATAAATATCTTAACATCCTTTTACACAAATAAGATCATATGAAGTTGAAATTGCGCGTCTTAGGATTGGTCACACTTTTTTCAGTCACAATCATGTCATCTGCAGAGGAGATAAACCCATCTGTAACTTCTGCAATTTATCACCTCTCTCCGTCAAACACGTGATTGTGGACTGCTCTACCCTCAGGGATCTCCGATCGCAGATTTACTCACCAACAGCCAAAAGTAATACAAACCCAACAACATGCGATGAACCCAATGGCACAACAAAACTGCTGAAACTCTTTGCCTCCCTTAATATAAAAAAATGTAAATTTTTGTACATACACCCATCTTTCAAGTTCTCTGTAAAGACGTTAATAGCCGCGGATGCTGAATGTCTATGAATAAAATAACTAACTAACTAACTATTTTATTAAAACATGGCCTGAGTCGCAATCATTGCATATTTTTAAAATCGGCTAATAGCTCAACTTTTGTTTTCACATTCATGATAGTATAACCATTTCCACCTTTTTCTCATTGTTCCAATCATTTTTGATCAATTAAAAAACATTTATCCACAGTGACGTTTAAGCAATTTTCATTGTTCGTTCTTTCCTTGTTTGACTGTGATTCCATATCAATGGTTTACAATTCCGTATATTTGCTCCTTCATAATTGCTCAACGCAAACATTGTTATTTCCAATCAGCATATGAAGAGCGTGAGGACTAACTAGAACATCTCATATCATACAGATATAATTACCTACCTCCTTAGCATTTTGACGGTGAAACTCCCAATCTTCTTGGTTGGTATATTGGTTTGTGACGTTGTAGACCTCTTGTCATAATGCATTTTTTTTTAAATGGAAAGCTACCTGACGGTAATGCTCGAAAACCATCATGATTATTTTTTTTATTCCTTCAAAAAGAAACGTGAAGAAAATTATTTGAGAACTTCAAGGAATTATGTTGACTTTTTCTCTTTTGTAAAGTAAGAGACGGAGATTTTAAAACACAGCCGACGAGATACGCGGTTTCGGAGTTTCACCATCACTTTGTTTTCCTAGCCAGTGGCGTGGCGTGAAGTGCGATGTATCGATTGTTATGCCATTTGAACCTACGGTAAAGAATCGATTATTAAGGTGTTCGCTGCGAACACCCTGTTTATGGATCCTTTTCTATAAGTTTAAATGGCATAACCATCGATATATCGCAAAGCACGCCACGCCACTTTTCCTAGCCCTAGAGCACGATGAGCTGAATCACAGAGAGCTGTTCAAGTTTGGTTTGTGAGTTCCTTTACTTGAATTGTTCATTGGAGTCAAATACGAGGAAAATAGTCAATTTACGAAAAATGCAAAAAAACAGCCTCTTACCTTGCAGAAAGGGCTTGAATATTTGGATACCTTCAAACCGTCTTGCCTATACTGTTCTCTTATTGACTACGTTGTCTGAGTCGGCAGTATTTTCTCTCTCGTATTATTCCGTTATTTTACGGATCTTTTAACCCATCAGAGGTATGCAATTCATCTTTATTCTCAGAAACATCGGTCATGTTGCATGCTGGTTATAATATAGAGGTAATATTAAGTGTTACCCATAAGGAGACACACAGCTTTAGGTTGTCACATTTACGGCACCATGAGAGTAATGGAATGAACTTCTGTTTGAAGATCGAAGACCTCGAATTTCTTGGAAACTTTTAAAATTCATCATTTTACCGGATATTTGTACCGGGTACCATAACGGTTTTTCGAGGAAAATTTTACAATGTTGAGTTGGAAACAGTTTGATATGCAAATACCAGTGAACACCCTCAATCTAGATTTAAAACTTACCTCTACCATTGAGTTGCGTATTTGAATAGTCTCATTACTATTTTTGTGTTCAAGAAACCTGCATTCATCAAGATTCATTATCC